AGTGGTAGAGCACTTGCCTTGGGCTGAAGAGCTCAAGGACAGTGCCAGGCCCAGAGTTCAAGTCTCAACAAGAAAAAAAAGAAAAGAAAAAAGAAGCCAGGTGGCTCAAACCTGTAATGCTAGTTACTCAGGTGACTACGATATGAGGATCATAAGCCCAGGCAGGAAAGTCCATGAGACTCTTATCTCTAATTAACTAGCAAAAAACAGAAGTACTGACATAACTCAAGTGGTACAGCACTAGCCTTGAGCAAAAAAGAAAAAAAAAATGAAGCATGAGACCCTGAGTTCAAGCCCCAGTACCAGCACATAAACAAACAAACAAATAAATTGAATGTGAAGAAGAATCCGCATTCCATTTCAGAGTGTCCCACAGGATAGGATTGACTAGGAAGGCAATATTCGGCATAGTAGGCGGAAGACACCACCTTTTTTGTTTAAAAGAGTAAAATGTACAAGCATATAAAGTTGCTCATGTTTTTTAAAAGAGAAATAAAATAAAATGTTATGTATCTTAGAGGGAGGAAATAGAGTGGAAGGGACAGGGATGAGAACTAGATTTCCATGAATGTTGGCAGGGAGAGACTAGGAGAGGCTGAGGGAAGGGAAGCACTGTACAAAAAGAAATGAGTCCTTACCTGACTCATGGAATCTCAAGCCCTCTGTACCTCATCTTTATAATGACAATAAAGTGAATTTTTTAATAAACATAGATGTATGCTCAAAATAATCTAAATTGATGATCATTGCTGTAACTGATTTGAATTTTAGCAAAATCACCATGGCTTGCCTTCCAAGAATGAGTTGTTAAGTATTGAAAAGCCGAATTAGGGAGGCTACCTTTTCAGTTGTTATAGGAGTAGTGATAGAGATTTATTAAGAGAAGAACGCTGGAGTTGAGACCTTGGAACAAGGTGAACCAGGAAGGTGGATATTATGCTGGAGAGTAACTCGCCATCTTCATTTCTCTTCTCTCTCCTTCCTCTCTCCTCCTTCGTCTGATGGAATCTCAGCCCTCCCTTACAGAGATGTCTGACCCCTAGGCACAGTGCCAGCCGGTGCTGGTTGCTGACCCTCATCTGCATATGAAGTGGCTTTTATCCCAAAGCCATCGATGCGAGACGGTTTGAGAATGATGTGGAGTTTCCAGATTTCCACACCCTCGTCTTCGTGCCTGGAGATGCTTCCTCCTACAGCTTGGTCAGCACTGCCCTGCTGTTTTGTGCCTCTTCCTTACTCCACTCCCTGCCAGGTAGTCCACCGTGAGGTGCAAAGGATCCTCAGAGCTCATTTCCTGGGTCGTCTGAGGCAAGAAACACACACACACACACACACACACACACGGTCAACCTTTGCAGCCACCACAGGCTGCCATATTATAGAGCTCTGTGCCTGCATCCTTGGCTTCACTCTCTGCTAACTCCCAGGGAGGTGAGCATGAGGCTCCTTGCCCTGTAGAACTGTCCTCCTCTCCTCCATGTGGGCCTCTCCTATCTTCCTTCCAAATGAGCCATGTTTAAACTTCCTTCCAGGTTGTGGCTGGGTTCAAAAGATGCCCCAATAGATCAATGGGTGAAAGCCAGATCCACTTTTGTGACAGCCCGGGGAGTCACACACGCGCAGATGGCACATCTTCCACATTCTGTTTATCAGCAGTCACAAAGTCCCACTCTGATTCCAGGGATCTCTCTAGTGAGGAGTGGTAAAGTTATGGAAAACCACAGGGGGCTTGTTGTCACTATTTGTGAGAAACAAAATCTGCCTCCTACTGTTGCCTCCTATTGTGTTATCCTTTTGTATTTGCACCCAAGGGTCACTTCCTCCAGAAACCTTTCCTAGCCTGCCTACCACCACACTAAGTCAGGGACCCGTATTGTAGACTCTCAGGACCCCTCCCTGTTCAGGTCATATGACTCCTACCTTTCCTCCTGCCCTCCCCATCAGAGTAGGAGCTCTCTGGGGACAGGACCACGATGAGTGCAAGCTTAGATGGGTATAGATGCTACTTGAGCATGTTTTGCATGAAGAGAGAATGTGGCGAAAGCTGGACATCGGTGGCTCACACCTGTAATCCTAACTATTCAGGAGGTTGAGATCTGAGGATTGTGGTTCAAAGCCAGCCTGGGTAGGAAAGTCTATGAGACTCTTGAGTTAATCACAGAAAAAGCCAGAAGTGGAAGTGGCGCTGTGGCTCAAGTGGTAGAACGCTCGCCTTGAGCTGAAGAGCTGAGGGACAGTACCCAAGCCCGGAGTTCAAGCCCCATGACCAACCAAAAAAGAAAAAGAAAAAGCCAGAAGTGGTACTATAACTCAAGTGGTAGTGCTAGCCTTGAGCAAAAGGAACTTAGGGACAGCACCCAGGCCCAGAACTCAAGTCCCAGGAACAGAAAGAAGAAGAAGAAGAAAAAAAGAATGTGAAGGAAGAAGGCTGTTGTTTCAGTTGTGCCCACAGTGAGCTGCTCAGCACACCATGTTCTGGAACTCAAAGCACCATCATCACACGTCACATGCAAAGCTTCTACTCTAAAGATGTACAGATCACCTGGCTGGAGAGGAACGTGTTGGGACCATTGATCTCTTCAAGAATTCAGATGGGACATTCAGCCAAGACAGTCACATCCTGGTCAATACTTCAGGAAGAAAAGATGTTTAGCTGCCAAGTGTTTCAGGACACCCAGGCATTGGAACAGGCAAGCATCTACCTGAGCAAGTTCAGAGACCAACCAGTGGACTTGGGTAAGTAGGAGTGGAATAATCAAGCAGCTAAAAGCTCAGATCTCCTGTCATACCAGCTATGTGGAAGATGAAGATGGAGAAAGGAGCATAGTGTCGCAAAGCCAGCCCCAGAAAAAAAAAATAGTTAATGAAATCCCCTTGCAACACATAAGCTAGGCTTGTTGGTCCACACCTGTGATCCAAGCTACATGAGAAGTGAAGATGAGAAGACTGTAGCACAAGACCTGCCCCACGGCAAAAAAAAAAAAAAATGTACTTGTAAAATAAAGAAAAAGGAGTTGGGGATGTGGTTCAAGTGGTAAAATGCTTGCCCAGCAAGTATAAGGACCTGATTTCAAATTTCAGTATAACCAAAAGGAAAAAAAAAAAATGAAGTAGAGACGGGTACCAATGGCTCATACCTGTGATCCTAGCTACTCAGGAGCCCGAGATCTGAGGATCAAAGTGCAAAGTCATTCTGGGAAGGAAAGTTCTCATGACTCTTATCTGCAATCAATCAGCAAAATGGCAGAAGTGAAGGGGTGGCTCAAATGGAAGAATGCTAGCCTTCACCCCAGGACCATCACAAAGAAAGAAAAAAGGAAAGAAATGGAAGGAAGGAGAAAGAGAGGAGAGACAGAGGGAGAGATGGAGGAAGGAAAAGAGGGAAGGAGGGAAAGAAAAGGGGAAAAGAAGGAAGGCAGGAAGGAAGGAAGGAAGGAAGGAAGGAAAGAAGGAAGGAAGGAAGGAAGGAAAGACGGAAACAGATCAGACTCCAGGCAAGGGAGTTAGTTTAGGCACTAGGTTCAAATCTCAGTCACACACACACACACACACACTCAGCAGACAAGCTAGATTCTCATGCTAACTATGTGTGGTTTTGCCTGTCCAAAACTCCCTTCTTTATTGTAAAGTGAGGAAGAAATTATAGCACCCTCTTCCTTGGATGCCTTTGGTACTGAACAGCAGGAAGTACTGTTTTCATCACTCAGCTGGATGCTGATACCACCTGCTCATTTTATCAAATGCTGTTGAAAATCACTGCATTAGTAGGAGCTGTCTTTTTCCAGTTCTCACACAGAAGCCATCCAGCTTTAACAGGTACTGAGCATTATTAGGTACTTTTCTTGGCTGTTCTGGTTTGATAAAATCTGTCTTCCTATCCCAAGTTTAAAGGTAAGGGAAATGGACCTTGGTAGTAGTGTCACATGCCTTTAATTCTTACAACTAAAGAGACTAAGATCTGGAGGATCATGGTTTGAGGCCATTCCAGGCAGAACAGAGGGAAGCTAGATGAAGTAGTATGAGCCTTTCATCCTAGATAAGACTGGGAGCCTAAACTGGGTAGATCAAGGTCCAGGTACATACCCAGGCAAGAGGTGAGACTATCTTAAAAATCACCAGCATACCTAGCTACTCAGGAGGCTGAGGATCATGATTCAAAGGCAGCCTAGGCCAGGCACCAGTGGCTCACACCTGTAATCCTAGCTACTCAGGAGGCTGAATATGAGGATCACAGTCAAAGCCAGCCCAGGTAGGAAAATCCAGGAGACTCTTATCTCCAATAAACCACCAGAAAACTGGAAGTGCTGCTGTGGCTCAAGTGGTAGATCACTTGCCTTGAGCTGAAGAGCTGAGGGAGAGCAACAAGGCCCAGAGTTCAGGCCCCACGACCCACCCCACCCCACCCCCCCAAAAAAAGCAGCCTTGGCAGGCTTATCACTAATTAACCACCAGAAAGCCAAAAGTAGAGTTGTGGCTCAAAGTAATACAGTGCTAGCCTTGAGCAGAAAAGCTCAGGAACAATACACACCCAACCCCTGAGTTCAAGCCCCATGACTGGCCCAAATAAAAATAAAAATAACCAAAATAGCATAGTGCTGGTGGCTCATGCCTGTAATCCTAGCTACTCAGGAGACTGAGATCTGAAGATCTCAAAGCCAGCCTGTGCAGAAAAATCTGTGAGACCCTTGTCTCCAATACACTACTTAAAAAAAAAAATAGCCAGAGTGCCAGGCTTAAGCAAAAGCAGCTCAAGGACAGAGCCTAGGCACTGAGTTCAAGCCCCAGGTCTAGCTCAAAAAATGAATAAATAAACAGCATAAAAAAGACTAGAAATAGTCAGGCACTGGTGGCTTACACCTGTAATCCTAGCTACTCAGGAGGCTGAGATCTGAGAACGGAGGTTGAAAGCCAGCCCAGGCAGAGAAGTCTCCATGAGACTCTTATCGCCAATGAATCACTCAAAAACCAGAAGTGGTGCTGTGGCTCAAGTGACAGAGTACTAGCCTTGAGCACAAAGAGGCTCAGGGACAGTTCCTATGCTCTGAGTTCAAGCCCTACAGCAGACCAAAAAAAAAAAAAGGCTAGAAATGTGTCTCAACAGCAGAATGCCTGCCCAACAAGTGCAAGGCACTGAGTTCAAACCTCACTACTGCCAAGGGGAAAAAAGAAAAAACAAAAAAGAAGATAAGGAAACTGAGCTGAAAGGAGACCACAGTGTTGTCTTGGCAACTGAGGCTAAGCCTGCCTGGAATGAAGGGATGCAAGCAGGAAACAGGCCTGTCCTGACCATGCTTATCTTCCTGTCACTGGGTGGTGATAGGTGGACCCTGGTAGGGAGGAGACAGGGAACATTTAAAGAGGAAGAGAAAGAGGAAGTTGGCATTTCCCAGGAAGAGTGAAGAGAGCATGGCTTTGCCTCAGCTCCCTGCTTCCTATTCAGGTTACAGGCACATAAAGGACAGCCCTCCTCTGTGGCATAGGACCTTTCATTCCCTTCTGTCTTATCTACGGGGACAGGGCCAGGAGGAAGATGTGCCTCAATATTTGTAGCTGTGACACCACCCTCCACCTCCACAGCCCTCTGATGCCTGTCCCTCTCCCCTGTCATCTGCAGCTCCCAAAGAAGATGAGGGAGGCCTACCCCAGGTAGTGAAGCTTCCTGGCCACTCTTCACTAACAGGGACTTAGGACTCCATCCCACAGGAAAACCCACACCTGTGGCTTTGGCTATCTCCTGAGCCTACAGGGAAGTCCACCATGGGCTCAAGGTCTGATGTGAAATTTTGACAGCCCCATCGAGAGAATGGATTGAAAGCCAATAAACCTGAAGGCCCAGCTGCATTAGTTACTAGGGAAAGGCAAGGCACAGTCCTACAGCCAGGCACCATGTTGTTTCTGATCCAATGGGGGAAATAAAGAAGGAATTGGATGTTTCTTGTAGGAGTGTCGGTGGGCATGGTGTCTTGGGACAGCAAAGGTTGTATTGAACATTCCCATGGCCTAGAGCCTAGTATTTCTGCTCTCCTGTTATACCCAAAAGGAACCCCCAGAATTTCAGCTTAGGAAGCTGAGGGACAAACATATACACTATAACACTGAGAGTAGCACTGGTTAAAATTAGCAACAGATACAAATATGTGTCTGCAGGGTGAGGGCAGAAAGGTTGGTTAAGCTCCAGGTGAGAACTATTCAACCATAAA